TGTAGACGATTTCTCCCGATACAGTTGGGTTTACTTTCTGAGGGGAAAAGACAGAAGCCTTCAAGGTCTTCAAGACTCTGTGCATAAGAGTTCAGAAGGAAAAAGATGAGTCTATTATAAAAGTTCAGAGATTGAGGAGTGATCATGGAAAGGAATTTGAGAACTCACTATATTCAGACTTCTGCTCTGAGCATGGTATCTCACATGAGTTCTCAGCTCCTAGAACTGCTCAACAGAATGGAGTGGTGGAAAGAAAGAACCGAACGCTACAGGAAATGGCTAGAGTTATGCTACATGCCTCACATATGCCACAACGTTTCTGGGCTGAAGCAGTACACACAGCATGTCATACTATAAATAGGGTCTACCTTAGACCAGGGACGACGAAAACTCCATATGAGATCTGGAAGGGAAAGAAGCCAAATCTGAAATACTTTCATGTGTTTGGGACAAAGTGCTATGTGCTGGCTGACAGAGAACAAAGAGGGAAGTTTGAACCCAAAAGTGATGAAAGCATCTTTCTTGGATACTCTCCGAACAGTCGTGCATACAGAGTCTACAACAAGAGGACTCAGTCTGTGATGGAGTCAGTAAATGTGGTTGTCGATGACAATCCAGAAGAACCAGTGGACTCAACAGTGATAGAGTCACCTCTACGTGATTCAGATGCAAGTTATAACAACAGTCAGCTCAAACCACAAGATTCATCAGATGAAGATCAAGAAAGTTCAGAACAAGAGATAATCTCATGAATGATGTTGGTAAAGACAAACCTACCAGAACTCAGAAAAACCATCCATCAGATAACATTATTGGAGATCTGTCAGATGGAATGAAAACCAGAAGCAGAATAAGAAATAATCTGACAGAAATATCTGGGTCTTACTGCTATACCTCAAAGATAGAACCAAAAAATGTCAAAGAAGCTCTACAGGATGATCTGTGGATCAATGCAATGCAGGAGGAGCTACATCATTTTGAGCGGAATCATGTCTGGAATCTTGTACCAAGACCTGATGGTGTTAACGTAATAGGAACGAAGTGGATCTTTAAAAATAAAACTGATGAAGCAGGGAATATAGCCAGAAACAAAGCTCGGTTGGTGGCTCAAGGTTATACACAGATTGAAGGGGTTGACTATGACGAGACATTTGCTCCTGTAGCTAGACTTGAGTCAATTAGAATCTTGCTAGCTGTCGCTTGCATTTTGGGATTTACATTATATCAGATGGATGTCAAGTCAGCGTTTCTGAATGGGTATCTCCATGAAGATATCTATGTGGCTCAACCTAAAGGTTTTGAAGATCCAGAACGTCCTTCGTATGTCTATAAGCTTCGAAAAGCTCTCTATGGCCTTAAACAAGCTCCACGGGCCTGGTATGAACGTCTGACACAGTATTTGCTCCAGCACGGATATAAACGCGGAAGTGTTGACAAAACACTGTTTGTCAAATCGACAGGAAGTCATGTAACCATCGCTCAAATCTATGTTGATGACATTGTGTTTGGATCAACCTTGCAGAAATACACTGATGAATTAGTACAAGTCATGGAGGAAGAGTTTGAAATGTCCATGGTTGGTCAACTGACGTATTTCCTAGGTCTACAAGTCAAGCAAAGTTCTGAAGGATACTTTATTTCACAAGAAAAGTATGCTAAGAATCTTGTCAAAAAATTTGATCTGGAATCATGTAAACCATCCAGAACACCGATCTCCACTTCTACAAAAGTATCGAAAGATGAAACTGGTATATCAGTGGATAACACAGTCTATCGTAGCTTGATAGGCAGTCTATTGTATCTAACAGCCAGTCGACCAGACATAATGTTCAGTGTTGGAATCTGTGCAAGGTATCAATCTGACCCAAAGGAATCACATCTGATAGTAGCAAAACGCATTCTGAAATACGTGAAAGGAACGATACAGTATGGACTCTGGTATTCCAAGGATAGTGAACTGAATCTGGTTGCATATTGTGATGCTGATTGGGCATGGAATGTTGATGATCGGAAAAGTACTTCTGGAGGATGCTTCTTTGTTGGGAAGAACTTAGTATCCTGGTTAAGTAAGAAACAGAACTCTATCTCACTAAGCACTGTAGAGGCAGAATACATAGCCGCAGGTGGTTGCTGTACTCAGTTGGTTTGGATGAAACAGATGTTTTTGGATTATGGTCTTACACAAGGAACAATGACACTTTTTTGTGACAATGTCAGTGCTATTAACATCTCCAAGAATCCTGTTCAACATTCCAGAACGAAGCATATTGACATCAGGAATCACTACATCAGAGACCTGGTTGAATCCAAGGAAGTTGAGTTGGAATACATTCAGACTGACAAACAACTGGCGGACATTCTGACTAAGCCACTGGATGCTAATCGTTTTGAAATTCTCAGATCTGCTCTGGGAATTTGCAGAATTAACTGACTAAAGCAGTAGGTCCGTCAGAGAGGAGTTGGTTTAATACGGGTCAGTGTTATGACTTTGAATTTCCTTAAAGACTCTTCTCTTTTTATGTTAAGAAGATCTTCTAAGCTTAGTCTTCTCAAAAGATATCTGAAAAGATCTCTATGCTTTTTGAATTTCAAATTCCCATGGGTTCCGTTTCCTTCATAAAAAGGAGCTGTACCGTTGTGTCCATCAATCACTTCTGCATGATATTTTGACTTGCCGCATTAATTAGGGTTTATCACCCTTAAGACTATATGATACCGGGTCAAGAAGAAAGAAATCACCTCAGCTCCCATCTCTCCACTTCCCGTGCTTAACTGCTATCGGTGTTCTATTCTTCTCCTCGCACTTAATCTTAAATGGCAGACCCCGTAAGAAACATCATCATTAAGCTTGGAAGCAAGGTACATCCTCCGGCGGCAGCCCTCAAACACATTCAGACGCTTCTACAGTTGGCTATGAAGAAGAAGCTCAAGCTTGATCCTCTGCTTCGCGACGAGATTCTGGTGACTGTTATGACCAACTATCCGGAATTTTATGCTGAATGGTCGGTAGATGATGTAACTGAACTTCTTGTATTGGTCGCCGAAGACAACGGGTAAATGATTCTGAAACTCCTATTGAAATTTCTCCTGATAGACCTGTTGATTCTTCTATTCCATCGTCTGTGTCTGTTTTGCCTGAAAATCTATTTGCTTTGGGTTCCGAGAAGTCCCCTGTGAATGTCAATCTTCTATCTTTGCCTGTGACTAATGTTGATGATGAAAAATCTGATGCGTTGCGTGTGTCTGATGAGAAAACAAAGTCTTCTGATGAGCCAAATCCACTAAGTCTGGTTGTTTATGCTTCTGAGAATATTGCTCTGCCTCCGTCTGAAACTGTTAATGTCTCTAAAGAGTCTTGTCCTGCTGTTGATCCTCCTGCCTTACCTACAACTGTTAAACCTGTTGATTTATCAAGTCCCCACAAGTCGGAAAAAACAGGTGGCGTTCCTGTTTACACTGCAACATCTTTAGGAGAAAGCCTGGAACATGTGCGACATTTTGCTGGATTACCATCTGCTTCAATCCCTCAACCTTATCGAGTGATACACCCTTCCGAATCCTCCAGTGAAGATGATAAGATACTGGCTGAGGTGTATGGATCCTAAGCACCTTCTTCTGCTGCCCTACTGTTGAGGGAACTACTCATCCTGATTCCACGAATTTCCGAATTCGAGAGATATCAAATATTGTTGGGAGCTCATCTGCAAATGTTTCTGAGTCTAGCCACTCGGTCACTCCTGTTCAGTCCCCATCCAGAGAAACAAGACAGACAAAAAGGAAGAATGTTCCAACAAAGGTTGTTGTTGAAACCAGTGCTGATAATGTAGATGTGGATCAGCCTGTGAAAAAGAGAAAGTCGAGTGAGATTGCTAAGCCTGAAGGAGACCCACCTATCCACCAAGTTTTCAAGACTCTACGTTCCTCTGTTAAGCAACAAGGAACTACTGCTGCTCAAGCTACTTCTGCACCAGCCCCCTCTGCCAGAAAAGGGAAACCTACTACAAGGTCAAGAGGTCGAAGTGTAACTCCGGAGGTTCCACCTATTAAAGGAATTGATTCTACTATTTACAAACCTCAGTTTGTATCACCTGGTGCACAAACAAAATGGGCCACTATGGTCAGAAGGGAGCTGATTGTTCAAAGAACTGTGGATGAGAATCAACTATACTCCGTTTGTGATATTCTGCCCTTGCTGAATGAAGTTGGTCTTTTGAAAACTGTTACAGATGTTTGCCCTTTCTCCAAGCTGCTCACATATGAGTTCTATTGCAATCTCAGTGATGAGATTGACAGTCTCACAGGGCCACGACCGATGCAAATCTTCATCAGAGGGAAGTGGTATGATTTTGGGCCAGATGTAATAAATAAATACTATGGCTTGCCTACAGTGCAAGAAGAAGTTTTTACTGAATGGGACGTGGTGGCCAAAACTCTTACCGGTGGACATACTACATCCTGGCCTACAGGAGATAAGGACTATTTGCTGAGCTTGCATCTCACGTCTAGATATGTCATCCTACATCGCCTGGCTCTGCACAACTGGCTTCCATCAGCTCATTTCAACACAGTTGGCAAGCTTCTGGTAGGGTTCCTATTTAGAATTGGAACTAAGATGCAGTGTGATCTGGCCAAATGGATTTTTTATCATGTTCTAACTCTGATTCATCCCCGGGAACAGAAGGTAAGACTACCGTTTCCAAATCTGATTTTTGGCATCCTTACCTCTCAGGGTCTTAAGCCTATGCCCAGTGAAGTGATCAGTCCGACGCTGCTGTATACTGTTGATAAACGTCTTCTCTCTGGAGATCATATTAAGGATGTCGTTCCTATGACTGCCCCATCTAATTCGGAACCTGATGCTGTGAATGATGAGTCTCCTCATGCTAAAGATGAGAAGCTTTCCGAACAATTGAAGGCGCGAGTTGCTGATCTTGAGACGGTGCACGGCATCATTGCCAAGCAACTGACTGGTGCGCGCACTGAGCTAGCTACTGTTCTTCTCCGCATGAGCTTGTCTGATACTGCTGCTGCTGCTGAGGATCCTGTGAAGTCTGACTGTGGCTCTCCCTCAAATGCTTAATCTTTGGCTACCATTGGCAAAAAGGGGGAGTAGTAAACTCAGGGGGAGTTTTTTTGTGATCGAGTACCTTCTGGCCCTGGCTGGGCGTGACTGTTTTGATATTGTTTGTTTTTTGTTTTTAGACTACTTTGGATCTTATGTTCGTTTTATCCTATGTAATCTTTTTGGACACTTGGGTTGCTTCCTTTAATAACCTATCTTAGTTCTTTTTAAATAGTTGAGTTGTTTTGCCAAATAATAGCCAAAGGGGGAGTTTGTTAGTGTTTTTATGTTCAAAAACCCCATATTATAATTGGCAATATTATTATGGCATACTAAGATAGGTTTAGAGTCTGTCGGTTGGGTCTACAGTTTACTGATCAAGCAGAAGCAACGACAGAAGAACTGACACTGAAGATCTGATTTAGGGAAGCTGTTTCCTTAAGAGTCTTACGCGGTATTATCAGCTCAGTATGGAAAGTCGATCAGCGTATCTTCAAAGAAAGTAATGGACCTAATCTGCTAAGATTACATTCCTCTTTTATTGTCCTACCTTCTACAATCAAAGATCTTTTATGGAGAGTGTTTATAGAAGGATCTATAAGTACCGGTTCTAAAAGGTAACTGGCGTTACGAAAAATAAGAAGAAGAAACACTCCATATCAGCTTTAAGAGTCTAGATCTTTGATTGTTATGCACCTTCTCAATACAACTTGTTCATGGTGATTAAGATGATGAACTTGAGAAGAGTTACTGCTGCTTAAACGAAAGGACACTAAGATCACACTGTTGTGGGAACAACATTATAGAGCGTCACTGAAGTGGACTGCATCGGAGCTGGCTCTCCAAGTGAAGGGACATCATTGGACTTCTGTAGGCATGGCTCTCTATCTTCAACAATCCACTAAACCTGTGTAGACTGGGTATGTACCTTGTGTGGGGCACTTGGGTAAGATTATTGTATATCTACCTTTGTACATTGGATTATGACTTAGTGGATTGGACGCCTATGTGATCGTCCCCCAGACGTAGATACACATTGTATCGAACTGGGTAAACATTGTGAGTGTTCGTTCTGTGTGTTTGTTTATTTTTCTCTGATGTTCGCTCCATGATCTATCATTACCAAGTAGGTGCTTAACTGAATCTATCAGTATTCTAAGTCAGCAAACTATTTCTGATAATTTTCGTAAAACGAGGAAATGCAAAATTACAGCAAGCTACCAAGAAAGAGGTCAAGAGATGGGTGAAAGAAGGAATACAAGGTTATATGTTACAAGGGATGCTCCAAGAGATCAGAGCCAAAGAACTAACAGAATCTCATCCTCCAGAACTAGATGAGATTCTGCAAGAATACCAGCAGTTGTTTAAGGAACCAAAAGCTCTACCTCCTAAAAGACCATTTGATCATATGATACCCTTGCTACCAGGATCCAAACCAGTAAATTCAAAACCCTACAGATATTCTTTTCTACAAAAGAACACCATTGAGAAAATGGTAGGGGAAATGCTAACAGCTGGAATTATTGCACCTAGTACCTCTCCTTTTGCCTCTCCTGTTTTCTTGGTGCCTAAGAAGGACAACTCATGGAGGTTTTGTGTGGGACTACAGAGCCTTGAATGGCATAACCATAAAGAACAAATTTCCTATCCCACTCATAGAAGATCTGTTTTCAGAATTGGCCAAGGCTAAGGTGTTTTCTAAATTGGATCTAAGGGCTGGCTATCACCAAGTGAGGATGAAACAAGGAGAAGAATACAAGACAGCATTTAGGACACACCAAGGACTATATGAGTTTAAAGTCATGCCATTTGGATTGACAAATGCCCCAGCCACTTTTCAGGCCCTCATGAATCACGTGTTTCAACCTTTAATCAGAAAAACAGTCCTTGTCTTCTTTGATGACATCCTTGTCTATAGCCCTTCATTGGAAAGTCATTGGGAGCATCTGAGGGAAGTTCTAAGGATAATGAAGTGCAATCAGTTAATGGCTAAGTTGAGCAAATGCTCATTTGCTAAAAAGGAAGTGGAGTATTTGGGACATATTATCTCTGAAAATGACTTGTAGACTAATCCAGAAAAGTTAATTGCCGTGAGGGCTTGGCCAAAACCAGCTAACATCAGGGAGTTAAGGGGATTCCTTGGTCTAACAGGGTACTACAGGAGATTCATCAAGTCATATGGCACCATAAATAGACCCTTAACTGACATGCTAAAGAAAGATGCATTTCAGTGGAGTTCAGAGTCTGAGTATGCTTTTGATCAGCTTAAACAGGTTTTATGTTCAGCACCAGTATTGTCACTTCCTGATTTTAGTAAGGAGTTTATGGTAGAAGCTGATGCTTGCCACAAAGGTATGGGGGCAGTCTTGATGCAAGAGGGAAAACCAGTAGCTTACTTTAGTAAGGGGTTTGGTCCTAAACACTTGGGGCTTTCTATTTATGAAAAAGAATATCTATCCATCATTAATGTCATAGATAAATGGAGGTCATATCTTTGTGGAGGGCATTTTATTATCAGAACTGATCATCAGAGTCTTCAATTCTTGTTAGAGCAGAAGATCACTACTGCAATGCAGCAGAAGGGCCTTACCAAATTGCTTGGGCCCAGCTATGAAATTCAATATAAAAAGGGAAGAGAGAACTGTGTGGCTGATGCCTTATCTAGAAAAAGAGATGTGGCACAAGCTAAGGTAATGGCCATTACCACTGTCAGGCCATTATGGATTGAGGAGGTGCTCAAAAGCTATGAAGGAGATGAAGTAGCTACCAAGGTGTTGACTGAACAGTTAGTGGCACCAGAAGCAGGGTCAAAATTCACTGTTACTGAGGGATTGATCAAGTATAAGGGAAGACTTTATGTTGGGGTTTCAGGGGATTTGAGAAGCAGGTTGTTAGCTCAGATGCATAACTCTCCTATTGGGGGTCACTCAGGCCAGCAAGTAACATACCACAGGTTGAAACAATTGTTTTATTGGAGGGGAATGAATAATGAAGTCATAACAGCAATCAAGACATGTGAGGTGTGTGCGCAGTGCAACAGGAAAATGTAGCCTACCCTGGACTCTTACAACCCCTCAAAATTCCAGAACAGGCTTGGCAAAGTATATCAATGGACTTTGTTGAAGGACTTCCCATGTCAAATGGTAAGGAGGTAATAATAGTGGTAGTGGATAGATTTACCAAGTATGGACATTTCATAGCTCTCTCACACCCTTACACAGCTGAAAAGGTGGCTGAGATTTTCATGCAAAACATCTACAAACTTCATGGAATTCCCCAGGATATTGCGAGTGATAGAGACAAAGTCTTCCTAAGCAAGTTTTGGCAATCTTTATTCAAACAACTGCTGGTGAAACTGAGCATGTCAACAGCTTATCATCCTCAATCTGATGGCCAAACAGAAAGAGTCAATAGATGTCTGGAAACTTATCTAAGGTGTATGGTTTTTCACAAGCCAAAAGCATGGAGTAAGTGGCTTCACCTAGCAGAGCATTGGTACAACACTAACTACCACACTTCTCTACAATGCTCTCCTTTCCAGGCTCTGTATGGGTATTTACCCCCCAGCTATAACCTTTGATGTGGTAACAGAAGGAGAAGGTAATGAGTGGTTTAAGGAAAGGGCCACCATGGTGGCCATCCTTAAAGAAAATTTACAGCAGGCTCAGGCAAGAATGAAGCAGCAAGCTGACATAAATAGAAGTGAAAGAAGTTTTGAAGTTGGGGATTGGGTATATTTGAAGATACAACCCTACAAGCAAGTGTCAGTAGCCATTAGGTCCAATATTAAACTCACTGCCAGGTTCTATGGACCCTATATGGTCACAGCCAAGGTGGGAAAAGTAGCCTACAAGCTGCAGTTACCCCCTGGAACTACCATTCACCCAGTGTTTCATGTGTCACAACTGAAGAGAAGAGTGGGAGAAGGATTGAGTTCACAAGCCACCTTACCTCTTACTGATCAAGAAGGGATGGTCCTGACACAGCCCTTGGCAGCTCTGGGAAAGAGATTAATTAAGAAGAATAATAAGGCAGAAGTGGAAATTTTAGTGCATTTGGGCAACTTGCCCAAGGAAGCAGCTACATGGGAGAACTACCATCACATCACAAGGCAGTTCCCAAATTTCGATCCTTGGGGACAAGGATCCACTGAAGGAGAGGGCAATGTCATGGCCCTAAGAGCTGGAGAAGGAGAAGAGAATGGGAGGAGTCTCGGATTAGAAGAGGAGGCTGCAAAAATGTTAAGTATGGGAAGTCAGGGACCAAAACGTTGCCGTTTGAAGACGAGCAGTTACGCGGCGGTTATTACTAATCCAAACGGTGTCGTATGAAGCGGCTGGAATGAGGTGGTTGGCCAACTAATCCAAACGACGACGTATGAAGATGGGAGTTGAAGGCAGGTCTCAGACGACGCCGTATCACCATGCCTGAGCTGGATTGTTCTCAGCGAGAAAATCGGAGTTTGTTAGGATATTTTGGGATGAATCCCAGCTTTAAATTATTTGTTTTTTGGAGATGTTTTTTATGTTGTTTTTTGTCTGAAGTTACAGAACCCTAATTCCCCTTTATCTAAAAGTTTCTACTCTTCTTCTTCATTTATTTCCTTCTGCTATTTCCTTTCTGTTTTGCTGTCAAATTCCAAGGGTTGTGACAATTTGTCATAAAAATAACCTGAGAAATTTGATATCTTCTTTAGGATGGTGTGTTTTACATGCTTGAAGACAATGATCAAGATTCTCTTGTTTGTACTGAGTCACAGGTTCCTTATACGAGACTCAGGTTACTAACAAGTCATACGAAGATTATTGAATTGCTTTTGGAATTGAGCAACCTTAAAATAGAATGCTAGATAGTTGAAAATAATGTTGCAAAAGTGGTTTCAATATAAGAAAGTGAATAAAATGTGAATTTTCTACTTTACCCCTAAAATCTTAAATATTTTTAAATT